CATCCAGCAACTCCATTTCCTTGCAATGGGGGCAGGAGGAGGGGGTGTGCCAGAAACAGGATGTAGCTGGTGGTTTTCTGCCGAAGAGATGCCTGTTCTAATTATTCACATCCTGAAAGGTGTTGTGAGCATTTGCACATCACTGTTTTACTGTCTCTTTAAAGGGCAATGAATCTGCCACAGGCAGCTTGCAGCAGGCTGATGGGGAGGACACATAAAATACAGTCACTCGCAAACCGTGCAGATAAATTGACATGGTGCTACTGTTGTCATGGAGATCAAAAGAGAAGGTTTCTTAAAGGAGGTGGGGTCGGGAGGGATTTGGAGGCTGGAGAAAGGGCACTAGGGGATGGAGGAGGCTGCTTAGGAAGTCGGTGGGAGAGAGAATGTGCCAGGCCTGGAGGGGGCGGGGGCCCTCCACACACAGCAGGGAAACAGACATGCAAAGCATCCTTCCTGGGCGCAAAGGCAAATGTATGGAAGGGTAAAATTCAACACGGGAAAAACAATCTTTACACGAGCAACCTGACAATGAATGGGCATGACCTTCTCCTAGAATTGTAGTGCATTCAAAGGGATTTGAGAAAAGGTAGAAAGAGAACACTCCCTTATGAAAGCAGTCTGTAAATAACGCCATTTTCCCCTGTGGAAAAGGACTCATTTCGAATTCTCCAATACAGAGAAGGGAGCCATTAGCCTTTGTTTTTGTTTTTGTTTTTTTTCTCCATACACTTACTTTCAAAGGACTCCTTTAATTTGTATTAAGAGGCCTGGTTACCAGGTGAGACTTTCTATAAATCCATAGTTCTGTCCTTATTGTAAAAACAGGTAACCCAGTGGCTGGGTTAATAAGTGAACAAACTCTCTTTCTGGAATCCTTTTTTTTAAGAAGAAAAAAAATAATGACAGTGTCCAAATAAATCGGCTCCTCAGAAGCTATTTTTGGCCTTGGTGGGACCTAGGAAATGAGGCTGGATCCCTCCACATCCTGCCTTAAAGACCTGCCGTCCTTATGTGCGGGCCCACAGGCCAGAGAACGGCACGGAAGCCGACCTCCACTGGAATCCACACTCCCGGCTGTCCCACTGGGCTGCTGAGTGCTGCTCTTCCGCAGTGGCCATGCCAGACGTCTCTTCAACAGCCAAACCGTGGGGCTGCAGTCCACGCAACTCTTCTGACTTCACACCCTTCCCATAGCCCTTCATCCAGGCAGATTATCAACCTGCACCTGCGATCCCGCTCACCCAGCCCTCTGTTGCACCTCACGTGCGTTCAAAGCCATTCTCTTCTCCATCTGCAAAAACATCTTCTGAGAATGTCCACCATGTTGAAGCTCTGATTTAGATGGGAGGAAAATGTGGGTGAGATTTCATGTCTATGGGAACCCTTGCATTCTAGAGCTTTTAATCATGTTCTAGAAAACCAGACATTTAATACGCAATGCTGGGCACCAAAAGAGACAGAGGGATCAGTTCTTGCAGTCAGTGTTGGATCAGTGAGTGCCAATGGAGACCCACGGAGGGAGAAGGCTCCCCTGGTGAGTTGGAAGCTGAGCTGGCTGCAGAGAACGAGTAAGGGGTTGTTAGCTGAAAGGAGGAAAAAGAACATTCCTTGACAGGGGCTTTCATAAGGTGGGACTATGTAAGAGGGCTGGGATCCCCAGTCTTTCTCGGGCTCTCACAGAGGAACTCAGGTCAGCAAGGAACGTCCAGGAGACATTAGTCTTAAAGAGCAGATCTCACAACAGGTACAGCGGAGACCTGGAGAAAGACAGGGCATGCTCAGAGTGGCTTCTTAGGAAATGTGTCGTCTCCAATATCATGAGACACAGATCCAAAATACTTTTCAAGATCCTTACCTGATTTCTTCTTTTTCCTTTCTTCTTAGCCCACCGTTAACCCCATTCACTTAGTTGCATGAAAGTGAGTCATTCTTTCCCACCCATTTTATCAAGTGTTCTTCAGTGCTAGTTAGCAGCCATGGAACAGTGTTCTAGAACTGTCTTCTCCATGAAGATGCTTTCTCTACCTGCCCGGCAACCATCTTCCTTTATTCCAAGTAGACACATACTCTAAGCACAAATGTCTCTAAAGCATCATCCTAAACAATTTTTCAAGTAAAGGGGTTTATGCACTAAAGTTTTTTGGGATGATATGAAACCTACTGCCAGACGAGTGGATCACAGGGTCTCCGCTCACACATACCCCCGCCCAGACTGGATTATCGTCCACGTTCAGAGTGAGCCTCCAGCGTCATTTTCAAAAACCTGCATGTAACCCCAAAACTTCCTGCACTTAATGTACAAAATTCCTGCCTTTGTGGATTTATTTGAGAGGTCTGTATTTTTAAATATGTGCCCAAGAGTTTCTTTAAACACATCTCTATATCTTAATCTGACTACTCTGCCTACAAATTAATAAAAGAACTTTAGCTTTGCCTGATAGAGTGAGAATTTTTGCTTGCTTTTGTGCATAAAAATATAATATTTTCTCTTCATATAATGTATTAAATTTTTCTGTAATTAGAAACGCTTTGTTTACTATAACTTTACAAACTGAATTAACAAGCTTTGCAAAAAGGTGAAAAGTTATCCAAGGATCTGCGAGTGGTTCAAACTAAACATAACTTTTAGAAAAGCCTTGAGCTAGAATTCCACCGCTATACTTACCTTGATAAAGATGTTTTAACCCCTTGGACCTTCAGTTTCTTCATCTGTAAAGGACAATGAGACTTCTTAGAGTTATTGAGAAAGCAAATGGGATGATATATATGTAAAGCACTTACTACAATGATTGGAAAAATACAGTGTTCAATACATAGAGGTAGAAGTGGTAGAGATGGTGGCAGTGGGAGGGGTAATTGTGGTGGCAGCAATGGTGGCATTGGGACAGTGACGGAGGGGGAGGTGGTTGTGATAGTGACAGTGGTGGTGACATCAGGGACGATGGTGGTGGAGGTGTTGGAGGTCGTGGCAGTGGTTTGCTGGTGGGGGTAGTGATGAAAGCAGTGGTAAAAGTGGTGGGAGTGACTGAGGTGGCCGTAGCGTTAGGTTTTGGTAGTGGCTGTGACGTTGGCACTGACGTAGCGAGGTTGGTGGTGATGGTGGCAGAGATGCTATAGGTGGTGGCGCTGGTAGTCACAGTGGTGCTGGCAGTGACGATGGTGGTGACGATGGTGGCGGTATTGGCTGTGGTGTTGCTGCTGTTGGCAGAGGTGACGGTGACGGTGCAGAGGTGGCACAGAGTGGTGAGTATTGATTGGTGGTCATGGTCATCGTGGTGGGGGATGGCGGCTAGTGTTGTGATTGAAACAGAACAATAAATAACCTAGAGCTGATATGCACAGTACCTTTTTAAAAGCAGTTTTATTGAGATACAATTAACACACATTAACAGTCACTGTTTTAAGGGTACAAATAAATGGTTTATATAACTGTTTCATTGATGTCTAATAGCACCACAGATGTACTAAATCAGACTGGTTGTTGAGAAAAGCAACTGGAGTCCAAGAAAACCATAAAGAAACTTGCTTTTAAAAAGAAATGTGATTTTACTGCTCTTGTATAACTCAGACTAACCCCTAGCTGGACACATCTAATCCCGTTAATTCAGGGCCATCCACAAACATTTGCAGAATGCATCGGCGCTGCTTCTCTGCTCAAAACCTTCTTCTGACTTACTGTCTATACTCTCCTTGTCACACTCTGCTGGTTTCAAGCATTCCCTCCACCCCTGCTGCTTCCCTCCTCTGTCACTGCTGGGCAGTGGGCACCCTCTGCAGGCCCCGCCCACCACATCGGCACCTCCTTCCCTGAGCCTGGCAGTCCCGCCCAACCCACCTGGGCTCTGCCTCTTCTCCCCACTTCAGGCCACTCTCGTTCCACTTCCCGGATGCCTGCTGGCCGGCCTCCACCTTCCAGCACCCAGCATTTGACACTTCATAGTTCTCCATGGCTCAAGTGTTTGTTTTCTCTCCCCAGCTGGATGGCAGGCACCTGCAGGACAGAGAAAGCTTTTCATAGCCCTGGGAGACCTAGACCCACAGTTTGTGCACACACACACACACACACACACACACACACACATGCACACACACCTGCTGACTGCTTGAAAGTCTACAAAACCTTTGTGACTGAGAGTGTCACCTTGGTCTTGTTCTTCTGCCACACTTAAGAAGGGCCTGGTTTCTTTAAGCCCCGAGTGTTGGCTCACTCTGTACTGCCTTCGACTCAGTGGGCCCTTTTCAAACATCCGCAGAGCGGAGCTGGCTCCAGCCTCTCCCTTTCTCATTTGAATCACCACAAACACCATTCTGAGGGGAGTCAGGTCAGGGCTTAATGAAAGAGGTTTGCCTTCCTATCCGTGCGGACTCCCCTGCACGTGCTGATTTTCAACTTGCAAAGACCGCTGTTCTGGGACAGTCCCCTGGAATGCAAGCTCCGCGAGGGCAGCGATCCTTTTGTTTTGTTTTGTTTTTTAACTCACTTCTGCTCCTCAGTGCCTAGAGCAATGCCCGGTACAGACCCGGGGGCTCAGTGGACACTGCAGGGTAGAGGCACAGAGATCAGTGTCACAGCTGATCATTAGTGTCCTTGGAGATGCCACAAGCACAGTGTCTTTTGCAACTTTCTCATCAGCTGGACAGGTCAACCAGGGCAGCACGAAGGATGGGCTGAGAGCACGGACTTGGGCCAGACGCCAGCTTTCAGATTCCCCTCCAGCCGCTGGGATGTGGGTGACCTCCTGTGTAAAACAAGGGTCGTTGGAGTGTGGTCTCAGGGGAGGGTGGTGAGGGCTGGGTGCAGTACCACGGGCCCAGGAAGTGTGTCTGGCGAAGAGCGAGCGCTGTGGGTGTGTTGGCTGCGAGGAACACTGCTGGTCCTCCTACACCACGGCTATGACTGTCACTCTGTTTTTGTTTCCCTAAGTTGCTGTGGGTGTTGCTTTGGCTCTTGTCCTACCTCAAGACTTCTTGAGTGTGTTCTTTTCTCTCCCGTTTAGGCTCCCAAGAAACATTTGCAAAATGGGATTATCCGTGGCTACCAAATAGGTTACCGGGAGTACAGCACTGGGGGGAACTTCCAGTTCAACATTATCAGTATCGACACCACCGGGGACAGTGAGGTTTACACCCTGGACAACCTAAATAAGTTCACCCAGTACGGCCTGGTGGTTCAGGCCTGCAACCGGGCCGGCACGGGACCTTCTTCTCAGGAAATTATCACCACCACCCTCGAGGATGGTAGGTTCGGCCCTCCACGGTGGGCTCTTGTGCCCCTCGGGGTCCCCCAGCCTGGCTCCCCGCTGACTTTGCAGAGACAAGGGTGGAGGGACCTGCAGGGACCCTGGTCTCAGGTCTGTCTCGGTTGGGAAAGCCTTTCCTGATGACCTCCCCAGCTCTCTCTGCATTGCAAAGGCAAAATGCATTCCCTTCCCAAACCTCCCTCATTCATTTTAAGCACAAGAATTGGGCTTTTCCCAATTGTGAAACCAAGGCTCTTCCCACTACTGCAGAAGTCTGACTAGAATGCAGAAATCCGATTTCCTAAGAATTTCTCCCAAATCAATGTTCAGAAGTGTTTTTTTTTTTGGATTGCTTTATATTTCCAAGCATTCAGAGACCAGGAAGAAACAAGTCTCAGGCTTCCCACAGCAGCTCGTGCAGTGACCGAGCGCCTCCTAGTGGCCGTAACTGATTAATTCGCCTTCCACCTTAGCCCTGAAAATAACCTAAAAGTTCAAATTTCCGGTAATGCTTGAAAATGCAGAGGGAACCCTTGTGTCTAGAGACACAGCATTTTAGGTGGAGAGATAAGATACAGGGTTAATTGTAGCCATAAGTGGTGGATTTGAAGGCAGCAAGCTTGCACAGCAACTTCCTCTTGTGCGGTCAGCCCCTGGGTCATAGATCGAGGAGGAAATTATGACTTGCATCTGTAACGTCTGGCGATTTTAACCGAGAAAGAAGTCTCAGACAACTAGAAATTTGAACACTAGGATCTTCTTCCTACCTTAGTAATCTTTGCCATAGCGGTTAAATCCATCTTTGGTTTTTGCTTCAATACTCGTTTTTTATTGAGGTGTGTGTTTCAGTCAATATTTTGCACCTCACCTAGCTCCAGTCTTTAAGATCCAAATAAGCTCGGTATTAAAAATACCCCAGACAATCTTCAAACCTGTTTCTGAGCCCATGGTCTCTCTTCCCTCTGACAAAACACCGTAGAATGGAAAGGAGGGCTGTGAAGATGAGGCAGTGGGCGCACTATGATTACATTTCTGCTTTGTAGCACTTGTCCATAGTTGAGCTTCCAATTTAAATGCTGGATATCGCTAAATATGGAGGGACTGTACTGTACAAAGTGAATGTAGCTTAAGGAAGTAACTTGTAGGAATAATGGGAATGTAAATCGGACAAGCAACGGTCTTCTACTTGGGCAATAAAATCAAAAATGTACTCAACTTAAGCCTAGACAACCTCCCTTGAAATGAGGCAATTAAGTTTGATTCTAAGGAACCCTTTATGCATAAACTCACGATATTTTACCAAGTTGCCATACTATTTGTATAGGGAAGTGGCATTTTTTTCTTTTATTTTGGGGATTGAGTGCAGTTCTTTCTTTTGCTTGCACATTGAAATATTAAACTATGTTGCTTGTTCGATATTGCTTTGCTAATAAAACCAGTGGCAGTTGTTACAGATTCTAATTATTTAATTTCAGTGCCCAGTTACCCCCCTGAAAATGTCCAAGCCATAGCAACGTCACCAGAGAGCATATCAATATCCTGGTCCACGCTGTCCAAGGAAGCCTTGAATGGAATTCTCCAGGGGTTCCGGGTCATTTACTGGGCCAACCTCATGGACGGAGGTAAGAGGATTAAACTAGGACTTCGAGTTTTCTCCAAAGGATGCAGGACAGAATTTGCAGACCCCCTTCCTAACACGGGATTCAGGGTGTGGCAGGCACTTGTTTATCAACGGACACTTTCCTCTCTTCTGTTGTCTCTCATCCAGCATGCGAACAGGTGCGTGACGCTGTTTAAAACATCACGTACCTTCAAAACGCAATTAAAAGCGTAGGAGGGGAGTGACATTTGGGAAAGTTAGACCTGGGTGTATTTTCCTCACTATGAGTATCCGTGACAAGGTTCTGCAGGCAGCACCAACACCTTGATCTCTACCTAGAACACTCTATATGATATGTACCCTAAAAAGTTGGCCTCTTCCTATTCCCCAAATAGAACTCAGCAGGGAACTTTCGAGTTCCTGTGGTTGAACTATAAGGCGGCTCGGGAAGAATGCCAGAACACCGGGAGGAATATCATCACTCACCAGGAGGAGCTGTTAAATCCAGAGCGCTCCATTTCTGTCTTCTATCTTTTTTTCTTCTCCTCTTCCTTCCTCTTCTCCTCCTCCTTCTCTTCTTTGTTCTTTCTCTTGTTTATGTGTGTATGTGTATGTGTGTGTTTCTTTCAAGTTGTAGGGCAAAATTTTCCTGTTTGTTTGGCACAAGACTTTGAGTAAGAGACCTGCTCAGGTGGCGCCAACATTGGGACCAGAGGTTTCTTAGGGGAGCGTGTCCCGGTGCCTTTGCCTCCGGGCTGTGGATGCTGTGGCCGCTGAGCCCGCCCTGGAGCATGCTGGGTACACGGCAGGGCCGCAGCCCCTCACGGGACAGGCCTCACTCTTTCTGTCCCGGAGCTTAGGTGGCCACTCCTGCATCCCCCCTCACCCTTTCCGGACTCCTTCTGGGTCCCCTGCCCCTGGACAGGGCCACCCCTCTTGTCTGGGGCTTCTTTCAGCCCCCCTGACTGGGTGTGGGCCCTTGGCAGCTGCTCACCTCTGAGTTTGGGGGACACAGGCAAAAGCCTATCCCATCTCTACTCAGGATCACCTGGGGCTGTTCTCCCCAGCAGGTCCCTTGTCCCCATACAGGTAAGTGGAACACATGGGCCTCAAAGGCTGCACGGGGCTCCATTATCGGTGCCAGAATAAAGGAAAGAAGACATGTTAGCAAAGCAAGCATCATTTGCTAAGAAGACACCAGTGTTTGTGCCTTAGCTATTCATATCTCTAACTAGACGTGTTTCTCGGGGCTGAGGACCAGACCTGACTCCTCTTGATGCAGAGTGTAGCACCTTGAACACCACCCAATGCTCAGAGGCCTTCTAGAAAGATCTACCCACTGGATCTTGCAGCCGATATGGCAGCTGAACACCTCCTCTGTGCTGAGCTCGTGGGAGACACCAAGGTTGCCTCGTCTGCCCTGTTGGAGGTTCTAGAGCAGTGAACAAGGGAGACTCCAATGCGTAAGGAGCCACAATCCCAATGATGTGCAGCCCCACAGAGGGGCAGATTAAGTAGTTAATTCTGTCACAACTTCAACCCCTACAAAGAAAAGCTGTAAAAAAATTGCGGAGTGTAGGACAATGGAAATTTGCAAAAGTCATGTATTTTATTGATAAAATACCATAGGATATCATTACATATACTTGTTCTAACTTCCGCTCCTCATCTTGAATGAATACCCTGACACACTCACCTAAAGGCAGTATTACACTAAAACTGTTCCTTTCATTGTTCTCGTTGGAAATATTTCCAGAATCCAGTGGTGACCATTGATTCATATCACTCATATTTTCAAATATCCCTAATATTTACTAACATTGTTAGCATTTTCGTTTCTAAAATGCGTGATGTGGCTTTATACTTTTACTAATAAAAACATACAATTCTTTAAACGAAGAATGCTTGGAAGTACATACAATTTTTTAAAAGACACTTTTATTCATGGAATTAAGATCAAAGGGATGTGATTAATGTATAATGCAGACGTTCTGCACTTAATTTCCAAAGGAAAGCAAGAAATCCTCAGAAACATAAACCCGCTTGTGAACGGTCCCTCCCTACCTGCTCCCTGGGAGACGGCATTTATGAATTAGCGGGACGTTGCGTGTAGTTACCGGAGGCATTTACACAAACTCCTCAGGCTGTGGCCTTGGGGGTTAGCTGGATTGTCATAGACATTGAACATGTAGTGACTGGGTAAGGAACTGTACCCTTGAAAAGCCTCACATGGTCCACATACACACACATGCAACATACAACATGTATACCGCATACACCACGCACACACACATACCCACACACACAACACACAGAGACTGAGACAGAGATTCTTACTACTGCTGTGCTTAGCAATTGACCCAAATACTTTCCAAAATATGTATAAGAAAGCATTTTGTTGTTAATGTGATAAGATACAATGAAATTGGTTAGTATATTTGATAGGGCAGGTTCAATATAGAATATTTTGGCAAAATTTCTGAGTCTTTTGTCATAATCAGAAAAATAAATAATTTGTAAGGCCTGACAGAAACAGTTCATTTGAGGTTGCTAGGAAAATTGTCCACTTTGAGAGGTCACCGTTTTCATCCAAATCTTAGCTCCTTTTATGTCTTCTGTCTTTCTTCATGACGAAAATGGTAGATTCTGAAGGGAACCAACACTGAAG